TTACTCAGTACGCCATATCGTCTCGTGGGTGTCGTAAGAGGTGACGAAGGGAAACAAATCGGGAGATGGCAGCAGCGGCTTCCTACCAACGAGTAAATATAAAACTGCTGTTGCCAACCCACTTGCCAAGCCTGGCAACTATGGAATCCTCCTACGAGGCAATCTATGGAGGAAGGCCTATGTTCACTAGTGGACTTTAATAAGCTTTAACAGTTACGGTAAAAATCAAAGAGCAGTTGCGTTGTCACCCTTGAGGACTAAAATGGATACCTCGATCTCGGTTCACCATACGAAACATGAATTAAGCAGCCTCGTCTGACAAATCCAGACTTATTATGGTGAATCGAAGTAGAATTTGGTAGGAGTCCTTGAGAGACATTTTCCATAATTACTCAATAACTAACATAAAATCAAGAAAGCAACGCCTCATGTGCAGCCTCTGCGTGTAGTAGAAAAGCGAACCAAAGTTGGAAGGTCATCAACCAAGTAATTTTCGTGATATTAACTTCCCATTTGAAATTAAATTAAACTAATTTTAGTGATTTCGCCGCGCTTAAAGTAAAATAAGTTTCATTTTATGTGTAGTACTCGCATAAATATAAGGAATCATTATGTTTCCATTTGAAAGTTGTTTGAATGGGCAATAATTTCAAGTCCCAATTTTATGTATCACCACGTCTTGTTGAATTCCTTAAAGACTGCTAAGACCTGCCACATAAAAACGGAATTCCGTTTCGGGATTCTGTTTCGGAATTCCGATTCGTGATTCTGAACGAAGCAGGTCTATATGAAATCCAAGACCCGTCACACACCTACGGTAGTTTTCCGTTCGAAATGTTGCGTACGTGTTTGACCGACCTGTTCGTTCCGTTTTGGAATTCCGAAACGGAATTCCGTACGTATGTGACAGGCCTTATTCTGTACATATACTAGCTGTTCCTCGCGACTTCGTACGCGTGGAATTTCTTATGATTGAATATCGCGGGTTATAAATTTTCTGCGCGGATTTTTTAAATCAAAGCAACCTAAGTTACTTCTTAATGACATCAGTTCCCAGGCGTTTCGGGGATTAGCCAGAACAAACAAATAGACAGACAAAATTTTTAAAAGTTGTTTTTATTATAAGTATATACTTTTATATGCATTTAGTAAAAAGCTTTTATTTTAACATTACAAACAACACTTCAATTTTATTTTTTTTTCTATAGTTTAATAAGTGAAGAGAAAACTTTGAACTCTTTTTATCAAATTATGCGTACGAAGGTATCATGAAATCTAATTCTATCACATTATTTTATAATATATTAATGCCTAATAATTTACTTATTGATCTGACTGTATTAGTATATATACTGCTGTAGCCAATTCACGTAGTATAATTTTTGGTAAGTTGGTGCCGACACCGGAAACGCGCTGAGATTGGTTTAAAAATAAACACGTGAAAGGGATAGACAAGAAGTTTGAGTGCCTTCTGGAGAGATGTATTGTTTTAAAATATAATAAGCACAGTTGATAATATTTTGATAAACATTGTTATAGGTATAAACATCATCGATATATTTAAAACAAGATTTTTTTTAATATTAATATTATAATTGCTTACATATATTTAAAAATATAAACAAGTAAAAAAGAGAAAATCTTTTTATTTTATTACATAGGAGTGTGGAAGTTGTAATACCTGAGAAGGAGTGCAGAATACTAAAATTTATTGCATAATGTGTTACACTTACAAATACATTAAATAAAATAAAAGATAAATTATTTACGTGTTTATGTTTATACCGCTAATGTCAAATGTAAATAAAATGTCGCCTGGACAAATTAAGTCAATTGTTGACGTTCATGGCACATTTTTAGCTGTGGCAGTACCATTGTCTCAAAATAAGTATTATGTAAGTTATTTCTCTAAGGGAAATGTCAAAAACTTAATAATCTATGGTGAAACAGTTGCACAGAGTGGAGATTGTCGCCAAAGAATTTTAAAATGTTGTTAACAAATAATTGTAGACAGAATGAGCTCCCCCCAACAAGCTTTCGATCCACCCACAAGCTTTCGGCTGACCTGAACTGCCTCCTGGTGGCTCAGGCCGAGCCTACATAACACATCCCTTAATCTGCCTTAGTTAGGCACTCTTCTAAGCGGCTTTTCGCCGCTTGCGCCCTCCTTTCTGCCAAGGAGGGTCGCGTTCGTATACGGCTTAAAGATCTCTCGTCAGATCAGTAAGCCAATCTCTAAAGGGATATATCACTAAAGGGATTGGCTTACTGATGATGCTATGAGCATTCTCCACCTCCCTCCCCCGTTACCGGAGGTTTGCTCTTAATTGCTTCGGGCGCAAAAAAAAAAACAGAATGAGCTGCAAATTTGGCGTGATTTCAAATGTTCATTTTTCAGAAGTTTGCTGAGCCGGAGCGTACAGCCAAGGCAATTAAACTTTTATTTTAAATTTTGTGGAACGTAAACAGTTTTTTTTTAATCGGATAGGGTGACAAACGAGCACACAGACCACCTGATGAGTGATTGCTGTGGTCCATAGACATCTATCATCGATTACGAACCAAAGTGCCGATGCGTTGTCACCCGTGAGGACTAAGATGGAATGCCTCCATTCCAGTAAAAAGGGTATCCGGTTCGCTACACTCGCCATACGAAAAACAGCAGCAAATTAAGATAGCAATTTAAACTTACCACGAGTGGTTAAGGGGAATATTAGTAATGTTTATAGCATTGTTAATATTCTTTATTAAAAAAATACTCTGGTATTGGCCCAGCAGTGGGACGTATATCGGCTGTAACTTTTACTTCATGCATATAATTTTAAAATTCTTTATTATTTAATATAATTTTATAGTGACCAGCGAGTGCACAGTCCACCTGATGAATGGAATAGGTTTTTTTATTACTCATTGAAAGTATTTTTTATTTATCACAGTACACACGGTTTACACAATATGAGGATAGAAAGAAGATGCTTTAACCCATAGACTAAAGATCAAAATGTAAATGCGGTGGCATTCCTGAGATCCTGAGGACTAAGATAGAACGCCTTGTTACCAGATAAATAAATACACAAGCGTTAAGCTGCTATTAAACGTTGATATTCTCTGATATCCTGGTTCTACTCCGGTCGAACCATTCGTGTTGCAACCATTATATTGCGGCGTGGGTCTGCCACGATAAAAATATGTATAAAGCACCATATCTATCTTTATGTAGAAGAATCTCGATATAATATATACTTACAATGTAAATATTTTATTCTTTCATGTTCATGATTACCTCGTGGTTTTCTTTTAGTAGTATGTTCTTTGACATTTATATGCTTAATTATTTAATTCGTAATATGCTAACCAATACGGCACTCAAGTTATCAGAGCAGGTTTGTATCAATGTTCAAATAAAATATCTACCTCGTGGTTTTAAAAACAAAAGAAAGTTTATTTTTTCTGGAAAATTTGGAATTAAAAAAATGATACGTATGAATAAAATTAAAGTGTCCGTTTGTAATACATTAACAACGAATTTTAAAACGTTTGTCTTTCTGTCCGTCTGTGCAGGCTCATCTTCGAAATGGCGGGACCAACTGCGATGCAACTTTACGAACAGATAGAGAGCGAGGCCGGAAGACACTTTTTTTGAAAAAAAAAAAGAACAAAAATCTAACGAAATAAATACCTAGTCTTTGATTACTTTAAATCTAAATAATGCTACATTAATAGATCCTATCCACGCAGTGCCGGGGCGGTTTGCTAGTATAGAATAATTTTAAAAACTACCAACAAAAAGTTAAATCCAAATAAAACTTAAAGCTATACCAGAGACAGACGCTAAGTTACACTCTAGTGTATTAGGAAAACATAAAGAGCAGGTAATGTTGGTTTTTAATCGACATAAAAACAAACATTTCAAGTTGTAAGCCCTACCGCATAATAAAATAAACCAAAACCATTTGATGAGATTTTAAATGACAACAGAAACCATTATAAAATAAAACCGGCCAAGAGCGTGTCGGGCCACGCTCAGTGTAGGGTTCCGTAGTTTCCCGTCCGTCACAATAAGTGTGTCACATTTATGAGTTTAAAGGTGGGTATCCATTATGTTCGCGCTCCAGCAGCGCTCCGCGCTCCTGCAACTGCTTCCGGTAGTGGGTACTGTTGTTTCCATCCAAGTTCAAAATGATTTTCCTAGAAAGTCCTTATAAAAATGTACTTTCCAGATTTTTTTCATATTTTCTAAACTTATGGTTCAAAAGTTAGAGGGGGGGGGGGACACATTGTTTTTTACTTTTGGAGCGATTATTTCCGAAATTATTGACATTATCAAAAAATGATTTTAGTAAACCCATTTTTAAATACCTTTCCAACAATATACCACACGTTAGGGTTGAAATTAAAAAAAATCACTTCCCACTTTACATATAAGGGGGCTACACTAATAAAACATTTCTTTCCAATTTTTATTTTACCACTTTGTCGGCGTGATTGATACACATATTGGTACCAAATTTCAGCTTTCTAGTGCTAACGGTCACAGAGATTAAGCGAGGACGGACAGACGGACAGACAGACATGGCGAAACTATAAGGGTTCCTAGTTGACTACGGAACCCTAATGAGTTCGTAGATCTTAAGATAAGTACCTGTATTATGTAGACACCAGACAGTTGTTTTAAAATATTTTTTCAGATGGAATACACATTTAAAATATACATAAAGATAGAATAATACGATGTATCATTTTTATTTATACACAAATATGTAAAATTTTTATTATAGCTTTTAGCAAATGATTAAGTTCATCACTAAATACACACGCTGCTATTGCATATTATAAAATAAAACTATTTCTCTTTGTTCAAGGGTTTGGTGAAAGAGAACTCTCTTTTGTACACCTTATTTAAATATTTAAAAATTGTTAACATCATAAAGTGTGTGCAATAAACAATAGAGAACAAAGTTATAAATAAAACAAAAGTAGATTAACATAGAATTACTCACTAGGGTATGGAGTTCCGCAGGCACCTGAGTGGCAAGCCAAGCATGGTTCCTTTCCGTCCAAGTTCAGGTTCAGTGTGGTAGCCAGGCTCGGACGTGGGCACAACTTACAACCACCATTGAACTTCTCGCAAAGGCACACGTTATTCAGACCTTCGACCTTCAGCTCGTTCAGTCCGAACTTATCGCACTCGTGTTTTACGAGCGAAGCCGCCAGTTTCCCCGGCAGCTCGCAAGAAGGACACAATTGACACCGCGGCGTCTCCAAGTTCCTATTCGACTCCGAGTCTGAATTGTCGTTATCCAGAACCGATATCTGGTAGCCCTTGTCATCTTTCTTGACGCTCGCGCTGTCCGAAGTGAGGTATGAAGTAAGTGTCACCTCGGAGGGAGACCGCACTGTATTGTTCAGTTTGTATTTCGTCATTTTCGGAAGATAGTTTTGAAGATGGAGGCGCGAGACATCGTTTAACTATTCAATTGGTTCGCAGCACTTTATAGTTTAGTCGTGTACAGTTATATCACAGTAGAAAGTTTCGCAAGTCTGCCGCGACCGCTCGAGCCGGCATCAGGCGAGCGATTGCCTTTGCCTCGCCTCGACGTTTGGAACTTTGGAGCGACTGTCGACAGTCGAGCGATTGTAAACTCAAAAAATAATGTTATAATTGATAGTTAATATTACAGGACAAGACTTTTGCTACGATGCAGCAAGTCCCCGTTAACAGTTGATGGCTTAGTAGGGTTAATTTGTGTAGTTAGCGAAGCAATTCAACTGGGACGGAGCGGGACTTATCCTAATTTTTTTTATTAGTTTATGTATAAAGATTACTTTATGTATAAAGAATACAAACTTATACGAGTTATGAGCCTATGAGATTTAGTCAGTACTCTATGCGAGCGAAGGAATAGTAATCAATATTTTTTTTAATGATGTTTTATATTCTTAACATTATATTATTGTTTTCGTCACAGAGGGCGACACTGTGTTTATATTTTGCCATTGTAGTATAATAGACATTTTAGAATGGTACATTGATTTAGTCACGGAGCAAAGATTTAATAATATTTATATGAAAATAATTCATTAAATTAACGAATTAAATTAACAAGAAAAGAATTTTTTTATCTCCGTTTGAATGTTTTATAGAATTAATCAATTATTTTGCTACTGAGCTATGAAGGTCATAAACGCTGGTTTGACATGGTAGTTTTGTAATAAAAAATAAATATAATAAACAAATTCAGTGACAAATGAAAAATCTTAAAAAATATTTTGCCGCCCGAACAGGGACTTGAACCCTGGACCCTTGGATTAAAAGTCCAATGCTCTACCGACTGAGCTATCCGGGCTGTGCTACATGTATTGAAATTATGTCGTAGTTCAAACATATACTGCTATTATCGTAGTTCAATTTACATAATTCAAGTCGGATTTTTCTTTCTATAGAAAATTAATTTTACTTTCTTGAGTGGACTAAGAAATTGTCTTTGTTCGAAGATATTACTGCATTGTTAGCCTTTTGACCTTTACAGCTTTATCTGTCACATCACAAATCGCAATCACAATTCGTCTAAATTCCTTATACCTACCTACATTACAATATAAGTAAATAGTTAGCCTACAAACTTCATCCCCTACTTTTACATTCTTAGGGGTGGAGGAAAATCAAAAAATATTTTTTTACAACACAGTAATTGTAAGCAGATGTGCCATCCTTAAAATAATAAAAACGGGATCATCAAAATCAATTTACAATTAACAAAAATATCGCGTAAAAATATTATGCAAATTTTTTTTTGGAAGTCGGCTAAAAATATAACGAACTCTGTCGTCGTTGACAGTTTTGGAGATACAGGCCACACTTTACAGGGAATAAAATACATAAGAGCTACGCAGCTGTTAATCCGATATGGACATGGTGCTATCTTCTAAAGATTTATATTTCTCAGACACAGAAACCTAGATAAAGGGTTTGCTCCGATATACAGTATTAAGAGTTAAGACTACTGGAAGGTGTGACTTCAATTTAGTATTCTGTGACAGCCGTTCGTCTTTAGTTTGTTACAGCAAACCAAAAAGGATCGGCTGTCACAGAATACTGGGACTGTTACATGGTACTTAGTCCAGTGTACTGTCACCCTATTTTTCGACACTGTTTTCAAATGAAAATATTTAGCATGTACACGTTGTCTGTTCAACAAGAAAAATTATTATTTAAATGTTGTTGCTTTTAAAACTTTATGTCCGAGTTTATTTAACAATATTATTAAATAATAATAACAATCTTTCGTGGAAGCTGTTAAATCTCTAGGCGCTGTTATGTTTTTTAATCACGGCGCGGCGGGAGCTTGACCGATCGATACTCCTGTAATAAATCATAATACAGATGTGTTGTCACCCCTAAGGACTATGATGGAATGCCTCGTTTCCAGTAAAAAGGGTCTCCGGTTCTCCACCTTCAGTTCGCTGGTGTACTATGTCGACAATAATTACTTATTTGATTTTCGGAAGTAATTTCTGATTTACTAAGGGTCGATTTTTCAATCCTTACATTAAATTATTCACAAGATAAATAAACAACACAACATAAATAAAATTAAACTTACACTTGTTTAAATTAAAGGAATTCGATTGTTTCACCTTTTATTCAAACAGGTTTTAACTTTTAATATCAAATTTAAATAAAATAACAAAATAGATATTATCGATCCTATATAAAATAAAAAAGTTAGAGTGCGTCGAGTTTTGTTCAAAAATTATAATTTTCTGAGGATGAAATCAATCTAGATAGACTTGGAAAGTGAAACATTATCTTAAGGCAAGCAAAATAATGTAATAATACAAGATGGAGGCTGGCAATACTGATATGTTTATTTTTTTTCGCACCCTACATGGATAAATGAGTTCAAGGTCACCCGTATCGTTTCAAGATTTTTATTACACACTCGAATGAGTTCAGCAGAGGACTCAAGAACGCAAGACGAATCAATAAGTAGAATTTTTTTTCTTTATTATTGGAGTCGTACGGTTTACTTTTGCTACCGTCGAGTACATTAAGAAATTACCCTTAGAATTTTTTCCAAAACCTCTTCACAATATGGTGATGCGGCACATTGTAAAGTTTCTGGGAGATCCTCCGTTATGCCGAAAGTATTGCAGCATTAATTTTGAAATAAATATATGGTAAAGTTGAGGATTAATGTTAAGGACTATGTTAGACGAAAACACGATTCCGTAAAATTTTCTCGATAGAAAAAAAATCCAAAGTTACCTCCAAACTGAACAATAAACCGCTGTTATTCATAAAATACTTTAAATAAGATCATGAAACTTTGCATACTAACTGAACTAACTATAAAGCAGTGCTTATGTTATTAACTTTTTTAAAATACCATTATTTTCACTGTAAAAAGAAATTACCTAAACTATCGGCGTCTTGACGCTTGATTCCTGCCGCCCGGTTAGTATCGCTTCGGCCTTTGAAGGGAGATGTTGTAAAAAGTAATAAAAATAAGAAGCGACTGGGTTGGCGTTAAGAAACAGACATAAATATGATAAACCTAATGAAATAAGTATCCAATGACCTATCTACTTACAGTATTAGTGATTACAAACATGTCGGTACATAGCATACGACGCGCGGGGAAGTGGGGGCGAAATTAGAATTTGAGCTGACTTACTAAATCCCCTTAACGGCAGTTTGAGCAAGCAGACAGTCAATAACGGTAGTATCTCATTGCGCCTACGCAGACACGTAATTTGAGGTTCACATCACCAACGCAGGGCCGGTTTCATCGTTTTCACTAATAGTTCAAATTTGTACACAAAATCGTACCACTTTTACGTATCAACTACAAATAAATATAGATGTCTATAGTCCGCAGAACCCACTTATCATCGGGTGGACTGTGTGCTCATTTATCATCCTTATTCTAAAAAAAAAACGGGAGACCAAGTTGGCGATATATTGAAGATCTAAAGTATGAGCATGCGTAGATAAAGAAACGAGAGAGGTGTGTCAGGATCGTGCCAAAGCGAATTCTACAGTCTCTCCCTACCCCTTTTGTGTTATAATCATTTATACATGTGTTACGAGTATATCGAATGAGCAGTGAAATAAGTTGCGTAACATTTTAAGTAGGTATTACCTTCGTAACTTAACAGCTTTTTAACGTGGGTATTTTACGACCTTTTTGCCTCTTATTTAAATAAATGACATAACACGACATTAAAACAACTTCATGTTGATAACCTATTTTATTTTATGGTCTTATTCGATAAAGAGTGACTGCGATAAGGAAGCAATCAAATTAGCTCCATTTTAAACACATAAAGAAGTATTACTCTGTCAGTTAAGTTTAGTGACAACCTAAGAGCGACAGATTAGAATGAAATGAAACAGTAGATGGTGTGCGACTTTTAATAACCGACAACTATGGTAAACATACCCCCATGAGTAGGGTTACTAGAAGAGAAAATTTAATAGTCCTGATAAATAACCTAATTTCCATAGAAACGTCCTGACATTTTGTTGCAAACGTAAACGCAAGCGTAAAAAAAAAACAATTTTTGTTACACTCTTGCGAATTTTTTTTTTTTTTGCGCCCGAAGCAAATATGGGCAACCCTCCGGAAAGCGGGGGAGGGAGGTGGTGAATGCTCATAGCATACCACGCAGCCGGCTGCGTGGTTATGTGGCGACTTTTACCCACTAAACACCACCTTTTAGGAAATGGCTTAACGATCTGACTGGAGATCTCTAAGCCGTATACGAACGCGACCCTCCTTGGCAGAAAGGAGGGCGCATTCTCTTGCGAATAATCCACGTCGCAGGTTACAACCTTCGCACGCAAAAACAGTTACTGTAATTATTGACAAATCTAAAGTCCGACCACAATCCTGATAAAAGCCCAAAAATCATAATATTTCGGGATAAGTTCTAACATATGGTAGCTATTCTGCAGCGGACCTATAATAGCTTTTGAATCAATGAAAAATTCTTTAAGCAACAGCCGGCTTGCTTCAGGGATCAAGGAAGGTATGACTAAAAACTGGTTAAAAGTTAAAACTACAGAATAAACTTTGTCATTGAATTCTCAACTTCTTAAATGGGACAAATTAAGCGGCGAGTTGTTGTGAACGAGAGCCGACAGAAGTGATCAATAATGATCTATAATTACGTAATGATCCACTTCCTGCGCCCCACGGTCATGATCAAGTTATGTTAACGTCAGCTAGTGAATATTCAGCTTTGTGTTACGTAATCTTAGAAAAGATACAATTTTAGAAATACCCTAACGCGTGGATATTAAGAGCATCTGGCTATTCCGTTAAGGGAAAGGGCCCATCCCTTGAAAAAAAATAGCATTAAGAGTTTTAGTTATTTCATCCAAATCATTACACGTGGTAGAGCCACACTGCAGCTTT